ACTATTTCTTTCGAAGCAAAACAGCTTTTAAGGTGAATAACTCAAAACCAGATCAACAGAGCAGATTGAACAAAGCACGGAATGACAACACTAACAGCAGCAGCATCCGGAATCGTACAAAATGTGCAGGGCTTTAACACACCATCAGCCTCTGGTTTTCCCACAGCTGGGGGTCGGTGGGGATCTGCAGTTACAGCTCATCTGCAAATGCAAGTTTCTAAGGCATCGCCTTTTTCAGAGCCGTGGGAGCCAAGCTGTGGGCGATACAGGCCGGGGCAGTGAGGTGGAAATGTCCTCCACGCTCTGCCCTGGGCACCGGGAGGCTTCGAATTCAGGCAGAGAAAAACATGAGTTCTGAAACCAGGAGGGACACCGGCCTTCGCGGTGACCCCCTGGTCCTCTGTGTAAAAACACAGTAATAGGGAAAAAAGAAAAGGAACAAAGAGGCAGCTCAGCAAGTTCAAAGCTGGGCTGCATCCAGCCCCTGCTCTGGCTGCGCTCCCTGCGCCGAGGCCAACGCCGGGCACGGGGCTGCAAGCGCACGCATCCCCAGGAGCTGCTCAGTGGTGCCGGGTGGCTTTGGGCAGCTTTTCTGCCCCAAAACCAACTGTAATGGTACCGCACGAGCTCGTGTTTACGGTCTCAGTGATTCCACAACAAATGCTGCAGCTTCACAAGGAAAACCGTCCCAGTCCTGCAACCTCCCCGGGCTCTGCTGAAACAGCTTGAAGCTGGATCTGTTTTGTGTATCACCACCACCACCAGACTCTGCCTGCCAAATCACACCAACGCCACCCCGCTGCTTCAGAGCGCTGCCGGCAGAACCATTCTGCAGTGACCCTACTTACCAACACCCCCCTCCCTGGCGCCCTTCGACCCCGCTGCCTTCAGCCGAGACCCTGCAAACAATTCGGTCATAACCCACCATCGAACCCCAAATCCTACTTCCACTCTCCAGAGCGAGCAGGAATACAGAGCCAGGAGCTTACTCCGATCTCTGAAGCCAGCAATTTTGCTTCTGAAAATACAGAGTAGATTTTTGGGGGGCAGGGAGGTGGCATTTTTATGGTTGTTTTTGCTCCGTAAAGCTCCTCACCCCTCCTGAGGCCACGCGCGCAGCGCAGCGAGCTGCCACCCAGGGCTCCCTGCCTGCTCCTCGGCAGGGTGACCCCCCCACCGCCACGATCAGGCGGTGCTTTGCAGCCCCTCTGCAAAGACTGTCCCACTCCTGACGAGGAGCAACACCTCCCCTCCCACCCCGGTGCTTATCCAGCAGACCTTCAAACTTCTGACCCTGCACCGGGCAGCAGTCTGCTTCGGGGCGCACAGGAGGCAAGTCCCCCGCTTCCCCCCCAGCCTGGGAAAGGAGGACACCACGCAGGGGCTGGGGAGGCTGGAAGGAGCAAGAAGGCAGCGAGAGGAAGATGAAAGCAGCAGGGAGAGGCACCAGCAGCTACAGTCAAGGTCAGTCCTCGTGGAGGAAGAGGAGCTGCAACAGCCCCTGGTAAGGAGGGGGCGATGCCAGAGCCCCTCTGCAGCACCTGGGATCACTGTGGGCCACGTTCACCGCTACTACTACGCGCACCACTACTACTACGTGCAGCGGAGGGTGTGGGGTGTTTCGGTGTAAGGTTTCCGTGGGTTCTCCGGGTGCTGCGAGTGCTTCTGCACGTGCCGCTTTCCCAGGCGCTTGTGTGGGAGCGCGAAGGCCGGCGGCTGGTTGGGACTTGAATGCTGGTTGTTGGTTTTCCTACGGGGCAGAGACGTGGCTGCTCGGGAGCAGGTTTGTTACGACTTGCAGCACTTAAAAACGCTCCGAGTTGAAGCCAAGAGGCCTGATGCTGGCATTAAAGGCCGTAGCTGGGTGCAGAAATAAACAACTCCACTCCGAGGGTGCATCGCAGCGTGCCCAGGTACGTCAGCGTCCAGAAACACGGCTGCACACGGAAAAGCCTCTGTCATGGTGTCGTTCCATGGCCTTGACTTTTCAGTGCTTAGGTGTCTGAGGGAGGAATCCGGCAGGGGAATCTCAAAGCACCTGGCACCACCTTCAGCCAAACCCTCCGCGCTGGAGCAGGCCGGGAGGGGACGGTGTTTGCTGCAGAGCACTCGGCTCCCCAGCGGGCGCGGACGCGTGTCCCCACCCGGGTCCTGCGCGTCCCGGCACGCGCCGTCACCTCCCCACAGCCGCCTGGCAAAGGGGGTGTCGGCTCCCGCGGCCGCCTCGGACGCTGCGCTCGCTGCTTCCCGGCGCTGAGGTCGAGCATCCCAGCACGGGGCTCTGGCTGCTCCTGCTCTGGATCCCCAAGGCCCTTCCCCAACACCATCTTCTCTTCACTGCGCGGCGGCACCGGGCACAGGCTTTTTGCTGCCGCCCAGTCCCTGCGAGGTGACCCGCAGGGAGGGTGGGGGAGGCACAGGGGCCGCGATGGCAGCGGCATCCAAGGGATGCCTCTGCCCACCTGAAGCACAAATTGCCCTCGGGGTGCTGCTTCTCACCCAATATTGACCATACAGAGTCGAGGGGCCTGAAGGAGGTGCCTCGGGCTGGCAGGACAGGCAGCAGGCCCAGAGATTTTATGACTGAGAAGCCAGGATGTGTATCAAGAGTGGAAAAAGAGTGGAAAGGTTGACGTGGAGGAAGCACAGGGTGAGCAGCCCCGATCTGTCACGCCTGCCGGACACAGCCCGGCCCACGCCGCCTCCTGCCCGCGTTATCTCCACGGCACCTCTCCGGCAGCCTCTGTATCACACCCACGCCTTCAAAGTAAATACTACAGAAGTTATCCACGCTGATCTTCCAGAAACGGGGACCCATTGTCCCAGATGTAACCCTAATTAGAGAGCGCTAGAATAAGGAGGGCCTGTTGGACACTCCTCCTGCTCCAACCGGTTGCTCTGCTCGGAAAAGGAAACCTCTGGCAAAACAGCCCCTTCCCAGCTCCCCCGCCTCTCGCGCCTGCGCAGGGCCATCCCATCATTGCAAAGCTGCACCTCAGCCAGCACCTTGCTCAGGTTATGCAGCCAACCTAGTTTTTCCAGCGGTGGGTGCAGCCAAAGGGAAAGCCGGCGGCAGCTGGCAGGGCTCCTGCTGCCCCGGCCCCAGCGCAGGGCCGTGCTGACACCCAGTGGAAACCACGGCGAGACGCCCGGCAGAAATCTTTTCCCATCTGCTGTGCTATTAAATAGAGTGGAAAATAAAACCTGGTTAGCAGGAAAACACCGGAGCCCTGCCCTCGGCAAGAAAAGAAAATGAAAGATGGATTAAAGATGCTTTCTGGTGCGATCTCGCTTTACGATACCTCTAGTGCACCTGAAGGAGACGAGGTTGTGTGACACACCAGAGCTCACCAGGAGGAGGACTCGGAGACACTTTGCAGCACTGAACACGGTACCCGCGGCACAAACCTGGGAAAAACAGCCCCCGTGGCCACCTGCAACCTCCCCGCTGGCTCCGGGGGTGCCGCAGCCCCCCGCTCCCTCGCCCGCCCCGCGCACAGCCCAGCCGAGGCCCGGGTAGGTCTCAGCAGCGAGGCTGTGGCTGCCGTCGCAGGGGACTGGTGGCCAGGGGAAGGTTTCTGCTCCGGCCTCCGCAGCTCTCACGAACCAAACTGTTCGTAGCAGCGGTGACGGTGATGGCGAGCCGGCTCCTGGAAGGTGAGGAGGAGTCGATTTTGAAATAGGTATCAGGCAAGATTTATGATTGCGGCACAAATATTTTATACACGCTAGAAAAAGGTTGGGTTTGCTAAAAGCAAACAAGATCCTCCCCAAACTACAACAACTCCTTTGCGTATTCAAGGATCAGGCCGTTACCATGCACGCGGAAAAGCCGAAACATCTGGCAGCTGCTAACTGCAGCCAGCGTTTTTGGTGAAGGACGGGGATGCTTCGGGACGCACAGCACCACAGCTGAAGGCATCGGGGAAAATCAGATGCCCCGCAAGACCCAACTCCTGTTTTGCTGGGCACAGAAGCTTCTGTTTTGCACAGTCACTTGGTCTTTTCTATAGTCTGCACAAGCACAGCTCTTACACGTGACGCGAGCCTGAAGCAAATACAGAGGTTTTACACATCAGAGGTACAAAAGCGAGCTGAAGGCGGGGGCCTGGCACACCTCGGCTCTGCGCGGTCTGCGTGCCTCGTGTTTGGATTACAGTATATGTTAGCTGATTTTGAAACCACTTTTACAGCAGAAAAGATGCAGCAACAACGAACTCTCCTTCCAGGGCGAGGTGAGCGAAGGGAAGCCTGGGCATGCAGCTCCACCTGCCCTCCCCAGAGGCGAGCGGCCCGTCACAGCACACGGAGAATAAAAGCTCCTTAAAGCACAGATCACCAGTTTGTGATGTGTGCTCCCGCAGAGAACTTATCCTGGAGAATTTTTAGAGATTTTACAGTTGAGATCTTTTTTGAAATGATAAAGAGTGCTGCCAGTATCTTAATTAGTCTTTCTAAAATGTATAAAAATCTGAAATGAAAGAAAACAAGACAACTCCCGAGATCTTTGACTGGATTTAGCATTCTGGGTATGTAATTAAGGATTCCTTCATAACCTCCATGTCACAAGTTATCCCAGTACCATCCTGCTGATCAAAACTGGGCTACAGCTACGTCTGATTGTCAAAGTCAGCCACCACACATGTGATTCTGTCAAACCCACTTTTCTTGTTGGGAAGCTAGTAGTGGGAAAACCTGCTTTTATTTTCCTCCGAATTTCTTCTGACTTAACTTTTTGTATCTTCAGTACAAATGAAAGCCATAAAAACTGACTTCTAGATCAAGGTTACTCTGAGAAACATCTGAGCAGTATTATTTTCCAGACATTGGCCTGAAGTAATTAGTAAAGACAACCTGTGTTCCCTAACGAACCCCAGTGCCGTTTCTCCATGGCAGGTACCTTTTCTCCTCACAGGGCGCTACTCGGCTAGCTCATACACAGACTACAAAGAGACATTTGCAAAGAGACTTTCAGTTGTATCAAAATCAGTTCATCTTACAGCATGTAAAGCAGGAGCGGTCCGTGATTAAAGCACCAGACTGGGAGTCACGAGATCCAGCTTGGCCTCAGGTTACGTGACCTTCAGTAAATTCTTTAGTCTGAAAGAGAGATAAAGCCGAGGACACTAGCGGGAGATGCTCTGTGAGGAGCTCTGTGGTTCTCAGCTCAAAGGCACTGAAAGGGTGCAAAGTATTCCCAACTCATCGCGTGAATTTATCAAAGCACCTGTTTTAAGAATGGGGTGAATATAGCAAGTATTGGCATTCTGGGACGGTCGAACAGTACACACGTAACACAGCCACTACAGAAATTAGGAAGACTTCCATGCTGCCCCTTGCTAAGTGGTGGAACGAACAAGGAAAAACCCATTTTTTGTGGGAGAAGCGGCCCACTCAAAACCGGCATTTCTGCCCCTAATATTCAACGCGAGAGCAGTCAGGCAGTTAAACAGGGAGGTGAAGGGCTGCCTTAGAGCACCAAGACACAAGCCTGCCCGCCTGCCTTGTGGCCTCTCCTCTTTAAAGCTGCCACGGATTTTGTATTTGTTCTACTCCAGAATAAAATTAAATCACTGGGGTTTGGGACTTGTCACACTGCTTTATGTTTTGCATGAAAGAAAGGAACAAGCGTGTACTGGAAACTCACCTACATAGGCTGTCCTGCCACCCGTCTGGCTCGCTTCGATTTTATCGGTGTAATGATGCTGAAACAGAGTAAAATAAAAATTATGAGTACTTCATAAAGCCAGAAAGCCAGCTAAGAGGAATTAGCACTTGTGGTTTAATTCTAGTCACAAAGACTACAGTATTTTGAGACTGGCCTCCTCACCGAAAAAAATCTACCCCAAGCCTTTCCTACGGCCAGCTCCCCTATTTCCCTTCCCGAGGATCCCGAGGCCCAGTTCCCTCTGGCCTCCTCCCAACCGAGCACGAAGTCAACAAGTTTTTCAGCCTTTCTGCACCCTCCTCAGTGCCGCTGCGGCTCCTCTGGCAGCTCGGGCTGCCGGGGCAAGAGGTCCCACCCAGACCTACGGCAGACGAGGTTTAGAGGCAGCTGTTAGAAAAGCTGCCGGCTTTAAAACAAGTTAAACTACTCAGGGTAGAACCCTGAGCGGGTTTACACCGAGTGCCAGCGTAGCCGGTGTCGAGCACATGTGTTACTCGGCCTCCTGCAGACCTCTCAGAGATGCAAGCCTCCGTGGCTCTAGCCTAGCAGCTGTGCTTAAACTACAGGAGAAACAAATCTGAGACCCCGCGTTTCCAACAGAGGCTTATACACACCCAGAAAAAAAAAATGGGATTTGATTAGTCCTAAACCATCCCAGTTCCTGCGCCAGATCTTGCTCGCTGCTGCAAGACTGGCAGATCCGGAGCACTCTGTGTTTAACGCTCCTCCCACACTTTCATCGTAGCAAACGCTGATTTTAAACTAAAACTATACAACAATGACAATTCCACGAGGGCAGCAATTTTCGAAGGGTTTTGGCCACGGCTGAGAGTGGAATCGGGCACCTCGTACGCCCAGCTCGGCATCGCCAAGAACAGAAACAGCGGCTGAACACCTGAAAGATCACAAGGGTTTAAAAACATCTAGAATGCAGACATAAACCAAGCTGGCTGCCTTGACGCTATGGGTAAAAGAGAAGGTGATAAAAACCACAGGGTGACATGCCTTCTGTGATAGCTAGAGGGGGGAATTTATTTACAAATAAAGTTGTCTTCCTTTTTTATTCTCGTTGCTTTGCTTCTGCACAAAGCGTAACGGCATGCACATCCAGTGCCATACACACACAGGCGTGCAAATACACGTGTAAAGTGCTAAAAGAGCAACTAATAATCTAACATTGATTGGTAATTGCGGTGTTAATCTTTCCTGTGATTTATAATGCGTGTTTATATATTTTTGTGTCCCCTGTAGAGACACTCACTGTCAAATACGGTGCAAAACACAGATTAGATGCACTGGGCTTTTACTGAACTGGCAAAGCAGCTGGGGCACTGATAACTCATTAACCAGGGCACGGCGGGATCCAGAATCGCCACTGACACTTTTTGGAAGAAAAACCACCATCCTTTGCCAAATGGCCGGCGGAGATCCGGCACAGAGCCCCGGCGCCGCTCAGTAACCGACCGAATAGCGCGATTAGCTACGAGATGTACCGGCCCCGGACTGCATGAAATGCAGAGCCAATTCCCGGCATAGGAAACCCAGAATGATGTACCGGGGCAAAGCGATGGCAACGAGAATGTGGCTGTTGTGTTTTGGCTGGCACAAGGCAGTGGAGCGACCACGAAAGGCTTTGGCAGAGGGGCAGCGATGATGGGGTTGGAGAAGCCAGAGTAATTGAGTTCCCCCATTCCCAGGAAACAAGAAAAAAAAAACAAAAAACCACAAAACACAAAACAAAGCACAGAAAGTTCCTAAGGGATGGTCCTTAACAAAGCAGAGAGGTGCTGCCCACCACAGGCTGGCAGCACGAGCAGCGTCACCTTTATAAATCACACGCCGCTTCCCATGTTGGAAACGGCATCAAAATTTTAATAGCTGCTGTAAAAAAACATTGCATGGGGGAGGAAAATAAATTGCATTCCAAAAGAAACTGCCTCGCCGCAGCCAGTCCTTGCTGTCCCGGTGCCAAGCTTGTGCTTTTCACATACAGCAAGGAAATAAAAATAAATGCAACCCTCCTTTAGATCTGTGTGACAGCTGTGCTCTGCAGAACAGGGGTTTGAACAGAAAAAAAGCTTCTGCGTTGCTCAGCTGGGCGAGTTCTCACTCCGGTCACACCTCCTGGAGATTCTTAAGGAAAACTAAGAGAAATTTTAACCTACTGACTTATGCTTCCTGGTGGAGATCAAAACTATCGTTAAACGCATCTAAAAAATAAATACGGCTCATAGGGGCTGCTTTCCACCCTAAAGACTGAGAACTCCTCCCTAATCAAAGCTCCTATCAAACTCGTCATAAACCCCCCCAAACCCAACATTTCTAGCATAGTTTGAGGGCGGCGTAATTCACCCCCTCTGAAACCCTCCTTAAGACACGCTGCATAGCCGGAGCGTAAGCGCCCAGAGGTCAGGCCACCCTCGGGAAGGAATAAATCAGGGGAGGGCACGTGGGAGAGAGAAACGAGGAAATATCGCTGCCAAACGCGTCCCAGACCCTCCGGCCAAGGGCAGCAGCCCAAGCCGAGTCCTCCGGCAGCCAGCTCCAGCTGGAGCATCCCTGCCTTGCAGGACAGATCCTACAGTAATAGAAACCAGATTTGGCTGGGAAGAAGATGGTCCATCTCCCCAAACTGCCAGCAGCACTCTGCTTATCCCTGCTCCAAGCTCAGACCCAAAAGTCTGACCCTTTGTGGTGTTTTGGTTGGTTTTTGTTTGGTTTTTTGGTTTTTTTTTTTTTGGCTTGAATCTAAAAAACACAGCTGAAATGGGATCTGCTCAGCCTTACCCGCAGCAACGCCCGACAAAACAGAGAATTTGACTTATAACAGCACCAACTTCTACATTTTTAGGGCAGCGACCCGGGTGGTTTAACACAACACTCCAGATGGCTGCAAAAACAAGCAATGGGAAAACATAACACCTTTCGTCCCGTGCCTCACAAGAGTAAGGTGACGCAGGAAAACAAGAGTTTGGCTGGAGGATTATGGCTTTTCATTAACAAAAATAACAAACCCTTTCCATTTAGTCTCTCATTTCCGAGGCTTTTTGTTGCACTTGCTCAACTTCTTCCCCTGGAGCCGAGACAGAGCGAATTTCCTGGCGAATGAAGTTGGAGACGCTCTTGGAATTATTTTGATTCAGAAACAAAAGCCTCCTGGGCTTCTGCAGAACTGCTGCAGGACTGCAAATTCATATTTCATGCTGGTTTACATTCACCTCGAGTATTTCCTACAACAGCGTAGCTTTCCAGAAAGGATAACTTCTTGCCAGCTGGGCTGGTGGTGTTTAATAAGGATAAATGCGGGATCAGCAAGGGAGAGGAAGATCATCAGTGGAAGATTTTGAAAACACTTGGAAAGCTGCACCACACCACGGCACAGGATCCCTCACAAGGACTTGTTTTTTTTAACGCAAACTATAATGAACCGCCCTGGGACAGATATTTCTTGCACGTCACTGCGATATGGCAGCACAAAAAAAAAAAAAAAAAAAAAA